AAGGAAAGACAGAGACGAAGAAAGGCGGGTCCAGAGAGGTTTGGAAGTCCCTTATACGGGCGGCTAGATAAGGATCCCAGTGATTCTTTCCAACCAGAAGAGGACCAAGGCGGTCTTGGGGTAAAGGGGTTGGACCAGATCCAGGTTCAAGACCTCCTCAGCCGTGAAAACTCGCTGGGCTGACTTTGGGTCAGTCAGCATGATCTACCTCGCTGGGCTGCTATTGTGAGGTTAAAATAAAGGGAGATCCACACGGAAGCCTCTTTGCACAACTGGAGGAAAGGTGGCTGTTGAGAATGGGCCTGCTTGCCAGATGCTCACAATATGCGGGCTGGCTGCCAGAAGCAGCAGATACAGTGCCACCAGGGAGAGAGGCTCTTTCTCACGCCCACAGAGAATCCGATATTCCAGCTCCCTGTTCAGCTGGGGAAATTAAAAAAGATCTCATCCTCTGGATACTGGAGGCAGAACTCCAGCAGAAGTCTGTAGACCAAGGTGTGTGCGCATTTCAGCAGCATCTAGTTCAAATCTGGAGGAAGTCCAGATAAATGAAGCAGAGAACCTTTTGCTTTGGAAATTTGATACTTTAGGCAGAAATAGGTAACCAGTCTAGCCAAGTATTCTTTTTAATTTCTTTCCTTCTTTTTTTGTGTAATGCTGAGTTAAGTCTACTTGTCTTTTAATTCTCTGTACAAGTTCGGGAATTGATGTGCTTCAGCCTTTTATGCATTAATTTTATTTAGAATCCCCTTGTAGTTTTATAGTTGCAATTAAATCGCAACATCTCCCATCTCCCAGGGAGGTTATGTTATTTGTAGAGGATCACGGCCATCCGGTAGCCTGCTGGGCGCCCTGCATTTTATTCTGTGGTTTCCTTTTAAGCTGGCAGCTGTATCATCAGGTGGCGAGTCCTAGCCCCGCCTTGGGCATGAAAGCCTTAGGCCGGGTGGCTTTGGGCCAGTCCCTCTCCCTCAGCCCAGCCCACCTGACAGGGTTGTGGTTGTGGGGAAAAGAGGAGGAGGCAGGAGTATTGGGCACGTTCACCACCTTGACTTATATATAAAAAAGGTGAGATAATATAATAATAATACTCAGGATCTGAGTATCTCTGACATTTATCTTTATCAACATTGACTGTTTGTGCTCTAATATTTAAAGTTATAAAGGATTTATATATTTTAATTTTTTAAAAATAAAATGTGATTTTATTTATTTCCTGTGAGATTGATCTTTCCCCGGGAGTCGGAGGAGTAGAGAATGGCTGAATACTCTAGCCTCACACTTTTATGCTCTACAACCAGGAAGGGGGACTACTGAAATGACGTGTGTGTGTGTGTGTGTCTGTGTGTGTGTATATATGTGTATGTGTATGTATATGTATGTGTCTGTGTCTGTGCGTGTGTGTGTGTGTGTATGGAGTTATCTTTTGATGGCCAGGAAGGTGGTCCGGGGGCGAGATTCTATGAGACTCCCCCTGGAAGTCGGCTGACCCAGAGGGCTCACAGGAAAGGACTGGAGACCAGCATCCTCCCACCCTCTAGGTTTATGTGTTTTGCTACAATGGCCTACAAATCTAGCAAATATGAATTCCTGACTTCCTCAGAAATAACTACACTTGGCCACACTTAATGACTAAACTAC